CTCAACAATATTCAACATCTTGGAATTCACATGACTTAATTGCCATTAGCTTCCTGGATGGATCAGTTCTACAATGTAGCTTATAGTTAAATGGATGAGAGAGAACATTAGGTGCATCCCAAGGAAAGGAAATAGCATTGGCAGATACTTATCAAAAAAAAAAATAGCATTGGCAGATACATTGGCCAAACAGAGACTGGCAGAAAATCTAACCATTGGGGGTTAACTAATGGAAAGCCAGCAAATATCAACTTATAGATCAAAGGTGTAATTGGGTTGGTAACTTGGTAGCAGGGGCTACCTGGGCTGTGCCCAGCTCATCCAATCCTGTGCAAATGTAAGTTTTTGCCCATATTTAATAAATTTTTACAGTTAACAATCAAAAAATAATAATAACATAGCTGATAGTTTTGCTAGATGACAATGATGATAGTGATCTGTTACAAGTTGAAGACTCTAGAAGAGCAAGGAGCAGACTGAAAAGGACTTGTTTGAAAGTAGTAAGAAATGATTTACACGCCCATGATTTAAGCGGTGTTCGGAACCGCATAAATCTCGTGGATGGGACCGCCCACGGGATTTGGTCACGTTCGGATGGGTGTGGACGGGACTGGTCCTGTCCACACCCCAATATAGCATGGACAGGTCCCATCCACACCCCAATTTCTCATCCACGGAAAAATCTCATGGTTAGGGACCGTCCACACTTGATTTTTTATCCCCTACTTCACACTTTCCCTGAAAGGCTACCCTATTGTTTGTTTCACATTTTAGTTTTTTTTAAATTTTAATGTTTTATCAATAAAATTATATTTTAAATATTTAAAATATATTTTTTTTTAATTTTTAATTATTTTACTATTGTTTTTATAAAAAAAAAATAATATTTATTGATTAATATTAATTCATTGATGCATTTTTCAATATATTTATCATATAAAATGCAAAAATTAGATATTTATGATTAATTGTGTAGATCAAGGTTTTCGAACTGCCATTGACCCAGACGGTCGAACTGCTCAGCCCGGAAACTGTTCAGGCAAGCAGTTCTGTTTTACCCCAAACCCGGCTTTTGGCCAAAAACCGTTGACCCGTTCAATGGTTTTCTACCGTTTTTTATTTTAATTATTTTTTTATTTTTTTAATTTGTTTGTCAAAACGGGCTGTCCGTTCGAACCGTACGGTCAAACCGTTGGCCCAGAAACCAGTGGCCAAAACGGTTCCATTTCTAGGTCGTTTTTTAAAATGTTGGTGTAGATCATTCATAAATGTATGTGAGATACATGGAATCAAAAATTTGTGGTGGTTTGGGGCTCAAGAATGTTAGAAGGAATATGGCTCTTCTAGGGAAGTGGTTGTGGAGGTTCCCATTGGAGAAGGAGAAGCTATGGGCTAGAATAGTGGCAAGTATACATGGGTTGGAGCACAAGATTTTCTCCTTGGAAATCCATTCACGATCTGCTTCCAATATTCTCCCCTAATATCAGGTATGATCTGAATTCCGATAACTCCATAAAATTCTACGAACAAACTTGGGTGGGGAATGCCCCTCTAAAGGATCCGTTTCCTTCTTTGTATGCTCTATCTGATCTTAAAAATGAGCCAGTTTCATCATTCATTACCCCGTCCTCTTCCACTTCTGGGCATGGGTGGAATTTGGGTCTCAAAAGAGCCTTGAGGGATTCAGACTTCGCTAATATTTCGAGCCATCTGAACTTCTTGATAACGTTGTCTTAGACCCCACAAGGGCGGACTCTAGAATTTGGACCCCTACCCCCATTGGCTTCTTTTCTTGTGCTTCATTTTTCAGAGTCCTAAGCTAGTCCACCAATCCTGTAACCCCCCCCCCCCCCTTTCCCTGTTGATGAGGTTTGGTGCAGAGCAATCCCTCCTAGGGTTGTAGTTTTTGTTCGGAAGCCTATCTGGAAAGATTCAACACTGGTGATCTACTCCAAAAGAAGCGACCCAATACTTGCTTGTCACCCCATTGGTGTGCTCTATGTAAAGCGGATGGGGAGAYTGGTTTTCACCTACTGGTGTCTTGCCATTTTGCGAGGTCAATTTGGGAATGTGCTTTTTCCCTCTTTGGGTGTAGATGGAACCCTCCATCAGACCTACAGGACCTTTTTTCCCCTTCTGTCTTTAAGTGGCATAGGAAAAGGGGAAGGACTATGTGGAGAGGTCTGAGAACTGCAGTATGTTGGACAGTATGGGAAGAAAGAAACTTCAGGATATTCTCAGGGGCTGAGAGAGGGGTGGAAGAACTAAAGGCTATCATTCATTTTAGGATTGTACAATGGCTGAAATGTTTGGAACTATTCATAGGTTACACTGTGGATGACATGTTGAGGAAGTGGGGTGAAATAGCAAAATGCACATAGACCAAGTCAGTAATGAGTGTGTCTTGGACACCTCCACCTGCTGAGTTCATGAAATTAAATTTTGATGGGAGTAGTAGGGGGAACCCTAGACAACCAGGGATTGGGGGTGTCTTTGGGGATGACAATGGGTCATTTTGCCTTGTTCTCAAGCCCAATTGGAGTGGGTGACTCCCTTAGAGCTGAGATCTTTGCAGTTATGGAAGGAGTCCAGAAAGCCAAGGAGATGAACATCAGAAAACTCTTAATTGAAGGGGATTCGGAGGTGGTGATAGGGTGGCTGAATGCAGACAACAATGGCTTATGGAGGTACAGTAATTAGAGGAGGAAATTTAAGTGGCTGGTGTGGGAGATGAAAGTTAAGATATGTTGGGTTAAAAGATCAGCCAATTCTCTAGCTGATGGTTTAGCTAAACAAGGGGCAGAAAGGGATTCAATATTTTGGGCTAAGTTGTAACTTTTTTGTCTCTACCTATTCTTTTGTTTTCTTTTGTTTTGTTTTCTTGTTTGTACTTGGAAGGTAAGTGTATTTGTCTTCCTTATGTAACTTCTTTGGTGAATTAATGAAATTGTTATTGATAAAAAAAAAAAGTGTGGTGTGGACTGGTCCACACCACGCCTATAGAACACCATTGTGGGTGTGGACTGGTCCAGTCCATACAATTTGTCCACAGTTCAGAACAACTGTGGACTGTGGTGTGGTGTGAATTAGTCCCTGCCACAGGGTGTGGTGTGGACCAGTCAACACTCACCGATTTCTCATCCACACTACAGAACGCCCCCTTAATGAAGGCTATGACACTGAACAGAAAAGAACAGAAAAACAGGATACGTGTAGCCAACTCCAACTCCATATAGTTGAGACAAGGGTTAGATGACAATGATGATGATGATAGCTCTGCTAGAGACAAGTGGCAGCTAGATGGTTGAGATGCAACTTTTGCTGATCAAAAAAATAATAGTGTTGCTAGACAAACTGTCACAAGGGTTGAGCTTTTGGCAGAGAGAATAATACATACAGGGAAACTAACTTGATCAGTTGGAAATCCTAGATTCTATTTTGTTAGCCCTGGAGCTCTGTATATTACCTACCTATTTACACATTTGTTACATAATTTTCTCATTAATTGAATACTTTTGCAGCCACTGAACACCCTCCCCCCTCCCCCAAAAATAATCCATGATAAGGTCTCTATGTCCAACCAATTTTAGCCTTCAAATGTTTAATATCCACAAAGACCCTTGATCTCCAAACAGCACAAAGTTCTTAATTGGAGGGTAAGATATATAGGTCATAGGATATGACCATTGAAGTAGGGTCAGGCTTGCTGATGGAATAATTGATTGACCTTCTACAATGTCTTCTTATTCTTTTATAAACTTTTCTTAGAATTTCCATCCATAGCCTATTATGGATGGAATGGTGGATTTGCCTTCTCTTTAAGGGATACCAAGATCTGCTAATTCAGTAGTAGATTCATTGGCTAGGAAGGGATTAATAGAGAAGCAACCTATGATACCCAAATACTGATAAAAGGGTGCTGTATCCTGTTGTATACTTCAGTTTTTGGTGTAAATATTATATCCGATACATTTCCAGTCATGTCCTTGACATATCCAGGTAATATAGGAAGTAACATTAGCAGGTAAGTGGTTCTGTGGTTATGGAAAAACATTGACGGGTACAATGGGGGCCAGCCAGTTGACTGGCCATTGGATGAGTTTGGTCCCATTTCTTTTATGTTTCCTGATTTGTAAATATTTTCTAATAAGCAATAAATGCATTTAATTTTGTTACTGATAAAAAAAATGATAGATTCACCTAAGCATTAACATAGATCAAAACACTAAAAGATAAAACTCCGATAACCATAGAACTCTTGCTATTTCAACAGGTTTACCAAAAATTGACCGCACAACATACCAGAATCAGTATCTCTTATAGAGACAAAAGATTGTTTTTATATATAAATATATAAGATTGCTAATATAAATACAAAGCAAGCCTTCATTTTCTATCCACTACAAAATATCAGCTTCACAAGCCCCTCATGTTGTACCACATGGTATAAACTTGAGGAAGCAAAAAAGGATCAGTTAATGGGTCAATTAACTAAATGGTATGACCATTCCTACTCTCTGTCATCAGATGAACAAATCTAGAAAGAGAGTACCTTCATAGATTGTTTGGTAAATAAGATTACACCTGAAATTCCCAAATGTTTTTGTATGCTGACACTGTTGATGAATACTATCAACAATCAATACTTGGCATATGTGCAAATCCTTAAATTGCAAAGTTTAGCACATGCTAGAGAGACCGCAGCATCCAGAGTGCTCAAATTTTATCTTCAGCGGTCAGATGCTCTAGCTACCGATCAATGTTGAAGCTGAACATAGCAATATTGCTATAAAATTATCAAATATTAGGAACCTGAAATTCTAAAGTTGGAAAAAAGACAAGCTATAAGATGGCTAAACCAAGTTACAAGGAATTGCACTGACATGCAAAAGAAGAGAGCGTTATGAAGGCAACTGCGTCAATCAAATATTCAACTCTAAAACATGCCTATAAATATGGAAGAACAGATATTGCACATTGGACATTCTACTCTTTTCATGTAACACATAAAAAAGATATTTCTTAAACAAAAAGTTTAATAACCAAATAATAAACTTCAAGTGTTCAAAAATTAAAACTGTAACAGCAGAATTGATTTCAGAGGATAGTCTATATCAAAAGATTAACAACAATGCTCCCACAGTTCCATGCCTACGATAGACCCATTTCCAATGAACTATGCAATTCAGCACATGTATTACCCCAAATATGTCCTGAAATTCAGATATATCAAAATACAGTAGGTTATGACAAGAAACTCAAGAAGTTTCTGCGGCTGGTTGGGTCACTCCGGACTTCACCAACAACTTACTGAGCGACTCGGATGAGCAGACCTGGTACTTCACCTTTCCAGAAGGCGACAGAAAGACCTCAGCTAGTTCGAGCTTATCAGAAGTAAGGCTTGTACTGTCCATTGTCTTACTAAGAACCTTCAGAGCAAGATGAACAGCTTCTTCCCTCGTGATATCGTCCTTATAATCCTGCTTAAGCATCGATTGCGCCGCCTGGTTGTTCGCCCCAATTGCAGCAGCCTTCCAACCACCATAGTTCCCACTTGGGTCACTCGTATACAGCTGGAAACCGAAATTTTTATCCCAACCGGCAAACAGAAACGAGACACCGAACGGACGGAGCCCACCAAACTGCGTGTAGCCTTGCTTAGTATCGCAGAGAGATTGAACCAGCTGTTCCACGGGCATCGGCTCTTGGTAACCATAAGTATAGCGCTGGGCTTGGACCCTAGCAGTGTTAATTAGAATATTGGCATCGGACATTATTCCAGCAACTGCACAGGCAACATGATCATCGATCTTGTACATCTTCTCCGTGGATTTCGAGGTCTGCAGGAGCTTCGATGTCACCTTCTTTTCACCAACCAAAACCACTCCGTCCTTGGATAATACCCCAATCGCAGTCCCTGCATTTCCAATGGCCTCCATCGCGTATTCCACTTGATAGAGACGACCTTCCGGAGAGAAGATCGTTGTACGGCTGTCATACCTCCGAGACATTTTCCTTTATCAACCACTGCTAACAAAACAAACTAATTAGAAGAAAAGGGTTAAATTTCAATACTTAGAGAAACCCATGAAATCTTCTCATGGTTTCCCGATTAAAGAAAAAGAATCACCAAAGAATCGAAAGAGAAACAAAGAACAAGAAAGGGGAAATGAAGGAGCATTGTAAGGGGAATTTAAAGATGTTAGGGCACAAAATTGCAGAATGAATCCCAGGTCGGAAATGTTAGGATTTAGATTTCAATTTGCTATTCAGAGTTTGCAATCCTCACCCGCAACTGATGTGGTTCTTCTCTTGTTAATGGGTTTGATCGAAAATAATGAAATCAAGGCTTCGCTATTTGATGCTTTTGTGCACACGGGTACCTGGCTTGCTCCCCTGCTTGTTCTCCAAGTCAAGTATTCAGAAGTGATGTTTTTAATCCTATATTCATCCGACCGGTCGGAATGGTCGATCCTTCACCCGGTCAGGATTTTTGGAACCGTTTTGGCCACTGGTTTTTAAATCGACAGTTTTACCATTCAATTTAAATGGATGGACCATTTGATAAAAAATTTTAAAAAATAAAAAACGAACAAAAACTATTGAATGAATCGACAGGTCAACGATTCGATTGCCTGGATTAATGGGTCATGAACTGGTTTAACAGTTTTTTTTGCTAGAGATCAAATTTAAGGTAAAATAGAACCAATTGCCTGAATAGTTCCCGGGTTTAGATTTATAAGTCATGGTTCAAATAGCCAACAATAATCTAGTTGTAAATGGGTTAAGTCTGGTTCGGGACATGTTGTATTAGTCTCAGACCGATTATTAATCGATTCCATAATGATATAAAATTATCCCAGGGAAAATCACGTTTGATCCGATTAGATAACTTTGATTATACTGATAAAATAAGTGTTTTTAATCAAAATTATCTTATATAAATCTATGAAATATATATTTTCAGAACATAAAATATAACAAAATTACAATAAAATCAAGAGGCTTTTATATATTATTAACTATATAATCAATTCAGGTTTGAATTGATTTGAAACAGCAAGAATTGATCCAACCCAAACCAAACCAACATAATAAACTCAATCGGTTCAGTTCTGTTGAGTAAACCCAACCAATTGACAATTCTACCTACACTTGGGGGTAGTGTCACATCCCCCATCAACTTTGACAAATACCTCCCCCCCCCTCCCTGGTTCCCCAAACTTTTGGAGATTTTAGGCCCCATTTGGTTCAAGGTTTGGAATCGAAATCAGAATTTCAACTGTTTGGTTGAATGGTATCGGAATCCCGTTCCCATTTCTGTTGGAATAGCATTCTCCCATTTGAGGAAATGACCATTTACTGCCCCTCCTTTGGGAATAAAATCTCATTCCTGCTTATTCAATTTTCATTCTCATTCCTGTCTGAACCAAATAGACTATGAGAATAGACCCATTCAGACTCTGATTCAAAAAATTTTGATTCTGATTCCAATTCCAACTGTAAACCAAACGGACCCTTAAATTTCAGGACTTTGCTGACTCTTAGTAGTCCATCAATCAACTTCACATATGAATGCTATCAGTCATCTACCACATGTTCTTTTTTCAATTGATAACAATTACTTTATTAATGGAGAATATGTGCAGTATTGGATCAAGACCAATGACTCCTCCATTTGGAAATCTATTGCCCCTCTCCCTCAACAATTATCTTCAAGAGGTGGGGTATCTTGTTAATCCTTCTTATCCGGCCTTTATTCGTTCAATCCCTCCTGTGTGTCTGGACGCAGTGCAATTTTATTTGCACCAGTAAAAACGCATGGGAGTGCAAATGAATAAAATTGCAAACTGTCGTTTAATTTTGTTTTGGGTTTTACTTTATTCGGCTTCATATCTTAATTTACTTCATTTGTACTGCAATCAAACAAAATAAGTTAAAAATAGAAACAAAAATAGATCGCAATTTCCACTGAAATCATTTACATTGTCATAGTTTTGCATCAATGCAAATTTATATGCATTGCAACCAAATGCAACCCTATTATTTCTCTCCTCAACCCTTACTTGCTCAATTATTACAAGTTAGAATCAGAAATTTGGTAAATGATCAAGGTTACTGGAATCTAGAGCTGTTATCTAATTCTTTTCAGATGATGCCATTAACAGCATTCTGGCAACTAATGTTTTTTTTCCAGCAGACACTCAAATCTCCTTGATTTAGCTCAAGGATTCTAAAGGCCGGGGTTTTCACTGCTTAGCTTCAAAAAATTTGCTATAAGCGGATTTGGAAACTACCTGTACCCCATATATAGAATTAAGCTTTTTATTTGGAGAACCATTCAAGGGTTTATTCCAGATAAAACTAAGGATTTCTTTTTAACTAATCATGAGCAATCTTCTTGTTTATGTGGGGCTCCAGCTGAAACTATTAATCACTTATTTGGATCCTGTATTTTTGTGTCTGCAATTCCTTTCGGATCTCCCAGATGGTAGTTATATTCTCATATTAATTACTTTCCAGGATCCCATTGTTGATTCCTTCCATAATTTCATCTCTCACCTCCCAGATAAGCAGTTTACCATTCAAAAGTTATTTTGGATTGCTTTTGTATGCTATTTATGTGTAGTTTGCTCGAAATGAAAAATGTTTCAAAAACCATGAAATTTCCATTAAGTGGGTTCTTCAGCATATAAACAATTTATTTCAAAAAATGAATTCCATCCAAGCTAATGTTGTTCCTACTTTGCCGCATGATACTGTGGTTTAATTTTACCTTGGGTAGTAACTATGAAATCTTCTGTTACTTGTATTCTTTCTTACGGATGAGGGTATTATATCCTCTACCCAATTGACCTTTGGTTGTATTTGGTTGTCTCCAGATCACTTACATCCTGAACTTGAAGCAATACACCAAGGAGTACTGCTTGAAGCTAAGAAGTATAATTGGCATGATGTGGTTACCTGTTCAGATGCATTCTCCATCATTCAGGCGATGAACAATTCTGCTTCTGTTCCTTTGCAGTGTCTGCATTTACTTTCAGCTATTAAGCCTTTAGTTCTTCAGCTCCATCCTGTCTTTTTTCTTTTATGTAAACCATACAGTTAATCGACCTGCTCATCTGGTAACTCAATTTGTTAAAACTTATCCACATACCTGTTTCTCACTTTTTGATAAACCAGAATGGCTACCTTCGGAGAAGACATCAGGGAGGTGTTTCTTCACTAGAAATGGCTAAAATATACCTATAACTATAGCTTCAAAAGGATCCAAACACTTCAACAGAGGGGCCTCTTTGCTAAGATTTTGATTTTTGTGTCTCTGTCAAGGGGGGGGATTGCTTCTTATTCTTTGACTAATTAGTGCAGGACTCTGTCAAGGGGGGATTGCCTTGATTTTTGTGCCCCTACATGCACTAATCTTTTGAAAGAGCTAATGAACGAGTTTTATTCGGGTGTATTTTCCAATGCACTATTTTTTTTTTTTTGGTAAACATGAAAACTCTACTCTCATTTATTCTTTTTAGTAGTTTAAATTGACAAAACTACTAAAATGCAGATTTTATTTGTTGTTTTGTGATTTGCATCTCCTTCTTCCCCAAATCCTCTTGTTCAGGACTGTTGTATGTGATTTGCATCTCTTATATGCAAAGAAGCCTTTTACAATGTTTGAACCCCATGCAGCAGATTTTAGCTTGGACAAGTTGCTACTAAGTTTAGCATGCATTAGCCCCCACTCTCTGGTTTTGACAACAAATTTAACTATGCTTTTCAACTCTTGAATAATCTTCTCTCGTTTTAGAAAAAACTAGAAAAGACCTGTGCAATGCATGGACTTGTGTTAAAAAGATGCCATGTTACATTCAGTTCCTTAACTGGGTGAGCTGCTTACAGAGCCCCATACTTAATTTCTTATTTTAAAAATTAAAAAATATCACAAAATTCTAAAGAAGTTGAAAAGCAATATAAAGAATCAAATGTAGCAACTAAATTTTAGAATATAGTATTGATTTCACCACTTAGAATCAAATTCAAGAAGAAATGGGAGTATCAATGTTACATTCAGTTCCTTGTCCTGGATACCAGTTTTCACAATAGTACTAGCTAGCCCCAAACCATTTAGGTTTGAGGCTATGTTGTGCCTTAACTTGAATATCAATGAAGTTATTAAAAAATCTTGAGATTTAGAAGTAAATGGGACTAAAGCCTATCAATTTAGCAAAAAAAGAAAGAGATAATTTGGTTAGAGAACTAAAGCTTTGGACAAAATCCATTTTGGGGACATTAGAAAAAAAGAAAGAGGACATCATAAAGATTCTTTTCTATATCCAGCAAAAATTGGAGGAGGACACTAACAATATAATTCTATTGAACCATGAAAGTGCTCTCCAAAAGCTCCTAAATAACACCCTAATCCATGAAGAAATAAAAAAAAATTCCATACTATTGTTACAATTTGAAGAAATAAAAATAAAATTGGTAGGATTAAGGATGATAGTGATATTTGGATTGATGATGAGAATTTAACTAAAGAATTATTCTGTAAAAAAAAAGTTTAGGGTGGACTCAAATCTGATGGGGTAAGAGATGTTGAAACTTCATTGCCAATATTAATTATAGAGCATCTGAGGAAATCAATAGTAATTTAAGTAAAGCGGTAGCAAATGAGGAAATCTATAATACCCTGACTTCCATGAAGGACTTAAAAGCCCCAGGGCTGGATGGTCTAAATGTTTTGTTTTCTTAAGAAATTTTGGAATATTATTGGAAATACTATTTGCAAGACTATCAAGGCCTTCTTTCATTCAAGGAGAATGAATCATAACCTAAATAAAACTTTTATCACTCTTATCCCTAAAATAGATAACCCTAAAGAGGTTAATAACTAAAAACCATTAAGTCTTTGTAATGTGGTCTATAATCTCATCTTTAAAATTCTTGTTAACCAGATCAAGCCTTTTCAGATAATATTGACAATGTTCATGAGATGATGCATACTATGAAAAACAAAAAGGGTAAATTTGGAATCATAGCTTGCAAAATTGATATGGAGATGGGCCTATAATAGATTAGAATGGGATTTTATTGAAAAAATATTAGAGAAGTTTGATTTTCACAACAAATGGATTGAATGGGTTATGGAATGCATAAAAACTGCTTCCTACCAAATTCTTATTAATGGCTCCCACAAAAATGTGGTGAGAGCTACTAGGGGCATCAAGCAAGGGAATCCTCTCTCCCCATATATTTTTGTCCTTTGTGTTGAGGCCCTCACTAGTTGTATGGAAAAAGGAGGGCAATAATGGCGACAAGCTTATTGGTTGCAAAGCTTCTAAAGGTGGCCCCACCATCCCTATCTTGCAATTTGTGGATGATTGTTTTATTTTTGCTAAAACATATATTAATGATTGCCTTATAAT